TCATTATAAAAGTTCAATGTATAGTATTTGAGGAAATTAAAACACTTAAGTAACACGAACATGTTTTGGGATGTACTGAGTACACATTCACTGATTTTCTTCAAGCAATCAAGTAGCTAGAGCACACAAAACTTGAACAATTTCATTCATCCACACATTAATACAAAACAGAAGTCAAGCATGGGGTACATATTTAAGACATGTAAGAATGAGTGATTCACTGAGAATATTCAAAGTTAATTATGTTAAGAACATTCCTTATAAGGCCAATGAATTAGTGACATCTTCATATGCACCAAAATGAAACAACTTCTTAGACTTGTTACTGGTTACAATGTTTTAAGTAAATATAGAGGCATATTCTCTAAAAATGCAATGAAACCTATCTCATCCTTTGACTTAATTCATGAAACATAAGCAAAATTATTTACTACAAACAGGGAAAACTGTCCCCCATCAACTCATATGGAGTTCATGAGAAATTCTTACCAAATTCTCATTTGTCACATTTCCAGAATTATATGGTATATGATGCAGTATGATTAATTCTTTTTCTGTTCTGCTTGCTGAAATAGTACCAGCCTTTGGAAAATTTCCAGCAGATCCCTATCAGTCATCAATAAACAATGAGCTATATACTAGCTTAACGGTAAGCAATAATGTTGATGTTATTTATTTTATTAAGTGAATATTTTAGATAAGTCCTGCTTATACTATTAAAATCAAAACCATATGACTGCTTGGTGAGCACTTTAGTGTGATAACTTATTTCCCCTCTAGCTATCCAAGGGCACATCTGCGCATACACTCGCAGACCCGTTGTGCTGATGGCTGCAAAGCTCCAATGCAGGCACTAACAGAGACTGGCATCTTCAATGTCTCCCAGTGTCCTGCACTTGCCGTCCATTCATGGTAAAGTAGTTAATTTTAATGTTCTCATTGTTTACCAGAAAGCACAGACAGTGAGGCTGGCTTTGCCGCTCCCGTTTCCTTTTGCTAAGCTGCTGCGCTTTTTCAGCCAATTGACTTTGCTTTGAGGCTATAAATATCTGAAAAATGTTCTGCATTTGATGCTCTTGGATTCTGCATCCATATTTAGCTGTTTGTGGCATGCCTTTGTTTAAGCTACTCTGCCACCCATACAATCAGTCAGGTTGAGATCTGGATGGTCAAAGGACACATGGATCAACATTCAACAGACACTGACTATGAGCAAGGTACCAATCTGCTAGACTCGGTGACAATGAAGGGGTGGCAAGACAGGAATACAAAGACAAACAAAACAGACTTCCTGGTATCAAACATTTTATAGTCTTGACAGGGCATGGGCACAACTTATTATAAAACTGTAATAAAACAAATGAAACATTTTACAACTAAAAGAAAATGAAGGCCAGGGCAGCATATTTTCTCTTAGCTATGCCTTAATGATAGGCATTTGTGTTCTAAATATACATCTACCTATTATAAAGCTCGGACAGATTCCAGAAAAAGTTTTCCAATCCTGGCAATACACAAAACTCTAAATATACGTTTTATCGACAACATAGTCGATAGCAAACTCAAAACAGTGCCTAGTCTTCAAATTTCATGAGGCAAACTAATAAAATATTTCCAAAAGTTTCTGTTAAGGTATTCAGTTTGGGGGGGGGGTGTTATTGCCGTTTGTTTACTTGTTTGCTTACTGATTTCAAACATTAAGTATATGGTAGGGGCGCCTGGGTAGCTCAATCAGTTGAGTGTCTGCCTTTGGCTCAGGCCATGATCCCAGGGTCCTGGGATCGAGCCCCGCATCGGGCTCCCTGCTTGGTGAGGAGCCTGCTTCTCCCTCTCCCACTCCCCCTGCTTGTGTTCCTTCTCTCGCTCTGTCAAATAAATAAAATATTTAAAAAATAAAAGCTCTTGACCTAAAAATAAACAAACAAACAAACAAAAAAACATAAGTATATGGTAGAGGATGTGAATCATAGCCAGAAGCCAGGAGCACTTAATACAGCTCCTTACTTTGTACCCTTTTAAAATCCACATGGTGGGGCGCCTGGGTGGCTCAGTCGTTAGGTGTTTGCCTTCGGCTCAGGTCATGGTCCCACGGTCCTGGGATGGAGCCCCGCATCGGGCTCCCTGCTCAGTGGGGAGCCTGCTTCTCCCTCTCCCACTCCCCCTGCTTGTGTCCCCTCTCTCGCTGTGTCTCTCTCTGTCAAATAAATAAAATCTTTAAAATAAAATAAAATAAAATAAAATAAAATCCACATGGCTATTTCAGGTTAGTGCTCAAAACTGAATAAGCTTCACCTGAGCAAGACCCCCTTTCCCCCCACCTTCCTATCTTGTCAAAACATTCCAAACAAATATACATCTGCCCTCAACATTCCTGCTTTCACAACTAAGTTCACTGACCTTTTGATAAAAGTCCTCCCCAGAAGCCCCCGACAATCATGATTTAAACTCATTAAGGGTTTTCTTGAAGCCTGTCCCCAAGAGTCAGACTGGAATTGGTAGGCTAAGTTGTAGGTAAAATAATAGGGCAGGCCACAGAATCAGACAACTCTATAGCTAGAATGGACCACAGATACCAATTAGTCCAGAATCTACATTTTATGTAGAAACCTAGAGCCACAGAGTTAAAATTACTTACCCAAAGTTAGACAACCAATTTGTGGCAAAGAAAGAATAAAAACCCTAGTTCTCAATCCCCAGTTGTATACTCTAGACTAGGTTTCTGAATTTCTTTTAAAAACATTAGACCACACTCATCAAAGTCTCCTTAAATTGTGTAAAAGAACCTAAATGTTCCAAAACAATCAGAATTGTGAACACACAAAACAAACAAGTAAACAACAAAAAAACAAAAATGAACTAGTGTTTTCCAAACTGATTTTCTACATTCTATTATTATTTTTACTTCAAAGTTTTTCAAAGAGTTATGCAATAGGCAACTTAAAAACTAGCTAAGGACACAGAAAAGCCAAGAATCATTCAGATAGTTTTGGAATATTTACATCAAACTAAAGACAACAAAGGAGTATCCAGGATGAGTGGCCTTAGAGGAAGGAAAGTAGTAGTACTAAACAGTAAATAAAAACATCTGGTTAATTGATAGGGAAGACAAAAAAGTTACAATGCAGTGGAAAGTCTGCAACTTGACACTGAAATGCAGAGTACATATGTGCATGAGAAGAGAATATATGTACGTATATTTATCCATATATACTTAAGAATACCCACATATCCGTGTGTGTATATATGTATACATACCCCTCACAAATCTACCCCTAAAAATGGACAACAAAAACTTGCACATATTTTTATGGGTTACACGCAAAGAACAGTAATTTACGCTAGGTCTGGAATACCCAAACAGAATAGTTTTGGACACTGAAATATACTCTTGCAGTAACATGGCCTATCTCTAACTTTATGTAAAAAACAATGTGCCAAAGAAATGTATAAGGATAAAAAGGAGGATAGGATGGGAAAATGTAACTATAATATACTCTAATTCAAGCTCATTTTCAGGTTCTCATCAACCTTTGGTATAAGCTATCGGGTAAGTGGGATCGGCAGGTGGATGGAAAATCAGGCACTGAAGTTTTTAATCTGCTGAGAATGAACTGGGTGACCTTGCATCATCTCCTACTTCTTTGCTTTAATTCTTTCAGGGGCTTAGAATAACATCAAAAACCACGTATAAACATCAAGCAAAATATAAAACGGTACAAATATAAATCCTTAAGAACTGGTTATAAGAACTACAGGATTTTTAAAACTGAAAGGGCCATTAAGAGATTATTAATCCAATTCGTTAACTTTACAGATGAAGAACCAGAGCCTTAAAAAAAAAAGTTACCTGATCTACCCCAAATCACATAGCCACTTACTGGCAGAACCAAGACAAAAACTCAAATCTCTGAACTCCTTGTTCTGTGATCTTTCTGATAGTGATGGACTTGAAGTCTTGAAATCAACTGAACTATCCAGAGAGGTAACTTCTAAGCCTTGGTCACTCCTGAATAGTAAACATATACCCTCTTCAGAAGATTGAAGGAAAAAAGTATAATGTACTGATCTGATCACTACAGGCTTAGATGCACATGACTGGAGGATAACATCTTAACGTTGTCTGTCTTTGATCCCAGGTGCTTCAAATTTGCCCTCTTATATTCAGCCACATCACTAATGTCTTGTGTTCACGTGAGTTAAGTGATAAACATCTTGACGTTTTAATATTTTGGGAAGCCACAGCTCAGTCCTGAATTCCAGGCTATAAATCCTTGGGCTAGGAGTTTTCAAAACTGGCATGGTTTTAATGCTGCCACAAGGCTCACCCTAATAGAATATCATCATTCAGTTTTAATTAAAGAGGTGGTTGCTAGGAATGCAGAAAGGGAAAGTTTTAGTGTGTTCATCACTTTTAACTTGCTGAGTAGCAACCCGGTCACTTTACAAAGAGAACCAGAAACAATAGTGCAATCTGACACAATCCACACCCCTTGGACTAAGTGGTTGCCTTTGGGAGAATGAGGTTCAGAAAGAGGTTATAGATTAGTCTCTTCCCACCAAATAAATATTTTTGGTTATTCTATTTTATTTTATTATCTTATCCACTGCTAAGCTATTTCATAGTATCTTAGTTTCCAGCCTTGCCTCACTCAAGAGAAAGAAATGAAACTGTTCGCTTGATTTCATGGTGTGTTCCATCAGACCTCCCTGAAATCGGTTGACAGTTCCCTTGAAGTTATCACCTAATATATTAAGTCTGCGTAGCTCAACTCCACCTTAAACTTCCTGCAGGTGTCTGAAAAGGTCCAAAGACCATACTGAATGACATCTCTCTACTCAAGCGCCAGCCTGGAGAAACTTGTCAGAAACGCATGCCAGAACAAAAAGGGATGTGGGAAACTGACCCAGAATGGATGGGGACTGAGAATAGGACTTGAGACTAGGGATGAATTTCAGCCAGAGCAAAAACACCAGCCTCTAGGATGATCTGTGGTCCTTACCGTACACCCGGACCCAGCTCTGTTGCTGGCACACGGACTCCAGAAGGATCCGATCCAACATGCCACCAGCCACGGCCCCACCGACTGGGACAACCGCTTCCAGCTCCTCCGGGGGTAGCGGCGAGTCGGACTCCAGTCCTGGGAACATCTCCGGCCAGGACAGCGCCTCCGCGGCTCCTCCGGACGACGGGGAGAGCTCCATGGTGCCCCAGAGGGACAAGGCGGCGGCGGCGGGGCTGGCGCGCGACTCCGCGCCCTGCCTGCGGGAAAGGGAGGAGGAGAGCGCAGCGGCGGGGGCAAGGACCGGAGCGTCAGCCGGCACGGACGCGGCTCACCTCCTTCCCCGCCGCCCACTGCCCGCGGCTCCGGCGCCGCAGCCCACCTGCAGCCGGCGGGCGGGACCCAGGCCGGGAGGCGGATCCAGCGTGGCCCCGGCCGGGGGTGGGTCCGGGCTCAGGTGTGGGTCCCTCCCGGGAGGGGACGTGGAAGGACCCGGGAGGGGCGGGCGGGCCCCGCGGAGCCGCCTTCCTCAACCCCCGCCGGCGTCTCTCGCGGCTAGATCGGGCTGGGGCTGGGGATGGAGTGGGGCCGGGCAGGGCAGGGCAGGGCTGGGGGCGTCGCCGCCAGGGGCCGCCCCCTTTGACCGGCTCCCGCCGCCGCTGCCTCAGAGGCTCGGAGTGTCCGCTCCCTCAAGGAAGGGGGGCGGTGGCCCCGGGTTCTCGCCCGCCAGTCCTCGGCCCCCACCCCAGGAATGAGCCGGCCCGCCCCCCTAACTCTCAGGCCACAGCTCCCGCCGCGGCTCCGGCTCCGCCACCGATCCCACAAGCCCGGCAGCCGCGGCGGCGGCAGGCGGCATCCCAGGGTGATAGGCCCGAGCAATCGAGGGCCGAGGGCCGGGCCGCGTGTGCAATCGAGTAACGAAGCGGAGGAGGAACTGCCACCGAAGGCAGGAAAAATCGGACACCGAATTATTCATCTGGCCAGTCCCGCCTACTTTCTAAAGACCTCTACCCGACCGCCCAGCAGCGCGCGGTCCGGGTCTCCAGAGCTGCGGCTGAAAGTGGGGACGGCGTGGGGAGGCGGGGTGGAAAAGGGGTGCGGGAAATTTAAAAAGAAAGGAAAAGAGTTTCCCTTCCCCTCTTTCCACCTCTTACCCTTCATGTAGCTATTTATGTATTCATTTATTTGGACCGACATTTCTTTCTTACTGGAGGAAGAGATTAGAGAGACTGCTTTATTTTACAGTTACCCTAAGGGAAACGCCTCCTTCCTTCCCAGAGGAGAGTTGGCAGCGGGGTCTGGATTGTGGGATCTGCGCTTTGCGCCCTGTCCGCGACGAAGCTGGACTTGTCATCGGTTTAGAATAGCATGGTTACGAAGTGTGGTGTGGATGGATAGACGGGCCTTGCAAGCACAAGAAATGCTCAAAAGCCCAGTATTAACCAAACATGTTTCTCTTTTTTTGCCTTTGATCTTTGTGCAATTATGTTGGCTTTTTTTCCTCTAATGATGTCACAAGCATTTTATTTTTGGTCTGTTTGGAGACTGTCTCCTTTGACCTTGGCTTTAATTTTATGCCCACCCAAGGCAGTATTCACTAGTTCAGGTTAAAGAGAGTGCTGATAAAGTGGTAATAATTTTTAAACCGAAAAGTAACAACTTAAACAGTGCCTTGCACATAGTAGGTCTCCAACAATGTTTCTTGAACATGCTGCTTAAAATAGAGGAGTTCCACAAGTATATGGTGCTTTTTTGTTTAGCACATGGGGGGCATCCCCCCCCCCCCCCCCATTTCTTCCTACTTTGCGCAGAGACTGGCCTACAAGGGGATATTTTTGTTTTCTGGTCTTGTGGCATCCTGGTATGTGGTTTGGGCTTATCAAGAGCTATAAGAATGCATTTTGTAATTTTCTCCAAACTGTTTAGAGGAATAGTATTTCAAAGCAGGAAGTGACCTTCAAGATAATCTCATTTTGCCTTTTGTTTAATGGTTGAGGAAACTGAGGAACAGCCAGGTTACCTGGGAAATCAACCACCAGTACAGATAGGTCTGTAATGTCTCAATGATAATGCCTATTTCAACTTTGTTCCCTCAAGAACCTTTTCTAACTGAGCTTGTTGATGCATGGTTTGGTGATGCATTGGAGTGATCATTTCTGATATCTAAATCCCCGATTTCTTACTATCTGACTTCCTAGTCAGATTTGCAAGTATAAATCATCATATTCTTCAGTGCTTGAGTGGACATGGGAAGGTAACAAAGCTGGGAGATTACAGGGCCCAGCACTAAACAGAGCTAGAGCATTTTTATTTATACTAAATTACTGCTGAAGTCATGGTAACAGAAGTCAGAGAGCAAGTGGATAATGGGCATCAGGTGTACAAATTTGAACACTCTTTATTAGTCAATATGTAAGGAATTTATTTAGCCAAGCAATTATCTCAAAGCAGCATTGGGAGTGGTGTATGAAACATTCACAGAGGTTTTTTTCTCAAGCTTATTTTCTTGATGGCGTCATCCATTGTTGAGCTGAAGAAAAAGCTCTCAGTAATCCTTTCTTCATCTAGACTCCAAATCCCCAGTCCCTGCTTCACCTCCCATCCGTCCTCAGACTAGCTGCAGTGATTATCTAATGCCTAAGTAATAGTATGTCTGGAATTTATCTAATGTTTATAACTTAAAGAGAAAATAGTTCCCAACTTGAACAATAGTTCTCTGAGATAAGCAGAACCAGTATTTTTTAAATCATCATTGAGCCAATGAAAAAAATTGAAGCATAGAATTCTATTAAACAACCTACCTAAGGTAAAATAGATGGTTAGTAGACAGATTAAAACCCTAGTCTCCTAAGTTTTTAATTCATTGAGGGATCTGGATTCCTTAAGGTTTTTATTTTCCCCCCTTGGGTGAGTAGAGTTGTACTAACTGTTATGGAGCCAAAAGCAAATATTCCATGGTTTTTGCAAATTATTATCACTTAAGGGGTGCCTGGGTGGCTCAGTGGGTTAAGTGTCTGCCTTCGGCTAAGGTCATGATCTCGGGGTCCTGGGATGAGTCTGCTTTCCCTCTCCCTCTGCTCCTCTCCCCGTTTGTGCTCTCTCACTCTCTCTCTCTCAAATAAATAAATAAATAATCTTTAAAAAAAATTATTGTCACTTATGAAAAATATTGGAGAAGAAACAAACACCAGTGACAAGCCAATTTGCATTGCAGGGAAGCAGTTAATCCTACTTAGATTTATACCAGGGGTATCTCCCTGGTGTAATCCCAGATCTTAATGTGAACATAAATCCTTGGCTGATAAAGTCTTAGTTTACATTGCAGTTTGCAAACAGGCCTTTGTGTGTGAACTACAATAGAGCTAAAGTCTCATTTCCCAGCCTGCCCTACCCCTCCTCCTTTTCCTCCCTCTAGAGTTTCAGACACTAAGCTCTTAGAGGTGATCTACATATTTATTGTCGTTGGAACTCAATTCCAAGAATCAAACCCAAGCCCCAGGACAAGGGGGAACTAAAATTGGGGAACTACGGAGGCGAAAAAACTAATAAATTCCCCAAGTAACAGGCTGAAAAACAAAGGCTGAGATTTGCAAAAGAAAGAAAGAGGCCTTGGGTTCAGAGTACATATTACCAATACAGGTTTCCTGTCCCTATCCTAAAGTAGAGCATACCTATGAAAGCTTTCATAAACTGAAATGACATAAAGCAAAGAAGCACTTACCAGTGATTTTTTTTAAAGATTTTATTTATTTATTTGAGAGAGAGAATGAGAGAGAGCACATGAGAGGGGGGAGGGTCAGAGGGAGAAGCAGACCCCCTGCTAAGCAAGGAGCCCGACATGGGACTCGATCCCGGGACTCCAGGATCATGACCTGAGCCGAAGGCAGTCGCTTAACCAACTGAGCCACCCAGGCGCCCGAAAGATGCCAGTATTAAGGAGAGACAAGGATTTGGAATCTTGGCTATCACAAACTGAGGACTAGGTACGCGTTCAATTTTCTCCTCTGTTCACCTGTCAGCAAATACACACACATAAGAGGTTCCCTCATCACAATGCTCTTAACTCTTTTCTTATAGCCAGTCCCTTTTAGGCTCTCTAGACACCACTTCTAAGCAGCTAATCCCCCAAGCAGTAATGCAACCTTTAAAGCGTGGTTCACCAGCTGCTCCCTTTCAATATTCTCTTTCCCCTTGGACACAATGATGCAGCACTCTTCTGATTATACACTACAACACTGACCATGCCCCGTTCATTGTAAGGGAAGAATTTAGACATTTCTTGAGATTCTGTTGTCCGTCTTCGTCTTGCTCCTGTCTCTGTCTCCAATTCCCTGGTCATCTATTCACTTCTGTGGGTTCAACTCTCACTTGGATAGTGTTGACTTTAAGATCTCCCTCCCCAGCCCCATCCACAGGACTGGGGGTCGGGTCAGGAGTCTGTAAATGTTGAACACCTCCACTAAGATATGCTTCCCGTACTTCAGACTCAGTGCATGGAAAGTGAACTCCCTCCCCCCGTCCTTGGCCCAAACACCCTTCCCTTTGTGGATCCTTTTTATGTTCAGTGGAACTGGTAGGTTCTACCTCAGACTTGCTTGAACATGGAGTTACCTTTCAGTTTTCTCCTCCACCCTAGCATAAATCAACCCCTGCTTTCTGTTCCTAGTGACGCCATTCTAACACAGGCTTGGTTAGCTTTCACCATGCTAAAAGCATTAGCTTTGTAGCTGTCCTTCCCCTGAGGCCTTTCCACCTCCAGTTTATCCTACACTCTGCAGTAAGTGAATTATCCTAAAGCTCAGTTCAGACCAGGTCATGTCCAAGCTCAAAAAACAGCTCTCTGCTACCTATTAAGTAAAACGTATATTCTACCAAGATTAAAAGGGCCTACCCAATAGGGTCCCAAGCCCCCATCACTACCTGCCCCGTTGCCTGTGACCAGCCAACACAAACGGCCCACTATTCCCCAAATACTTCCAGCACTTTCCTAGCTCCTTACCTCTCCTTGTTTCTGATATCAGGAATGGCCTTTCCTCCATCTCTGCCTGCTAAAAACTTGCCAACCTTCAAGCTCCCCTCCTCTCCTCCCCAGGTTAATGCCAGTGTCCTCCTCCTGCAATTCATTTCCTATCCTCCAAGCTGGCAATGATCTCTGCCCCCTCTGAGTTCTCATGGCATTTGTTCTTGTCTGTCTGCTGGAACCACCCATGTATATATTATGGTACAGTCCTCCGTGTAACTCTAATATCTGCTATTAGGTCATAAGCATCTAGAGGGCAGAGGGCTTGCATTATTCATGTTCATCCCCCATGGTGTCTTTCACATATCAACCCCTCAATGAAACCAGAAGCCAGGAAGCAAGAAATTAAACTGAAAAAGAAAACCTGGCTGGGTTCATAAATGTTTGGGGCTGCAAAAAACACTTAAAAAAAAAAAATCAATTCAGTGATCCCAGACATGCAACCCCCATTCTCCCCTGCCCACCCCCATTAAAAAAAAAGAAAAAGAAAAAAGAAACATTACCTAGACCCAGGAAAATGACATGACTTGCCCAAGGTCACCCAACGAGTGACAGAAGAAGTATCAGAATTCAGAGCTCCTGAATCCCAATGCATCAACCCCATCAACAGATTGTTTGCTTCCTGCTCCTTTCTGTCCTCTAACTGGATAATTTTCTTGTTGATAAAGGTTTCCTCAGTAAAGTAATTTCATTATTTTACATATTATTTAAGCTTAAAGCATTTGTGCCACATTCCTGGCCCCACATATAATTTTAGCAAAATTATACTTTTTTTTTTTTTTTAAACCAAAGGACCAAACAGAGACATCAGAGAAACATCTGGTCTGATTCATCAGGGCAGCAGCAACATTTCTATTTATACATGAGCACAGCCCTATCTTTGTAGCTCTCAGCTGTTCCTCATTGCTCAGTATGTTCC